CTGGCGACACTGCATGGAGAAACGCATACACTACTGATACCGCTGCTCCCAGGACCTCTCCTGGGGCGCGCTGTGGTCAGGGCCTCGAGGAGAATCTGGCCGCGGCGACGAGGACTCTCCAGGACGAGCAGCGGAACTGGCACCTCCTTCTGCTCGGAGCCGTCGTCCGTCGCCGCCGCCGCCGACGCCGCCGTCCACCGCCGCCGTCCACCGTCGTTGTCGTCGTCGCCGACGTCGTCATCGTTGTCGTCGTCGCCGTCGTCGTCGTCGCCGTCGACGTCGTCGTCGTCGTCGTCGTCGTGGTCGTGGTCGTCGTCGTTCGTCGTCTTCAGCTGCGCCAGTAGCGGCGTGCGGCGCGGCCTCATGGAGCGCCTCGCACGGCGCGCCTCAGCGCCGCGCCGTGGCCACCTCTCGCGGCCCGCGCACCGCGGGGGGCGGAAGGCTCTGCGCTGATCTCCGCCGATCTCCGCGGGGGGCCTCGGCAAACGGCCTCACCGATCCTGGCCTTGGCCGCCCCGATGCGTCACGCGCAGCCAGCAGCGTGTTGGCACGGAGCTGAACACGTAAACTGAACCCGTCGGTCAGGGCGCCTCCTCCTCATCCTCCTTCTCCTCATCCTCTTCCTCCTCCTCCCCCTCCTCCGCCTCCCCATCCTCCTTCTCCTCCTCCTCCTCCTCCTCCTCCTCCTTCCTCCTTCCTCTTCTTCCTCCCCCTCCCTCCTCCTCCTCCTCCTCTCCTCTCCTCCCTCCCCTCCTCCTCCTCCTCCTCCTCCTCCTCCTCCTCCTCCTCCCCCTCCTCCCCCCCCTCCTCCTTCTCCTCCTTTTCCTCCTCCCCCTCCTCCTCCTCCTCCTCGGTCTGGCGCGATACGTTCGCCAACGCGTGGGCCAACACGTGCCGAGCCAGCACGCGGCGTGTCAGCACGGACGTCTTGAGCACGGCACGCGCTGCGTCTCAGCAGCCCCACCGCGGTGCGGTGGGTGGCCGTGCGGTGGCCTCGAGATGCCCCATGGGGACCTCACCGCACGGTGCGTCACCGCGGCGTGCCTGGGGCCTCGGAGGCCCCAGGCTTTTCTTTCACTGAAGCAATCCTCGCGGCCATGCTTGGTTCATATATCCTCTGGCGCGCTGTGGTCGCATCACGACAAGACCAGCCGAACTGAAATAACAAATCCTCTGGTCCACAAACCAGAAACGTGATCCGTCACGGAATACCTATTGAAATACCTCGGAGGCCCCAGGCTGCCCGAAGAGCCCCCAGAGAACGACCCAGGTCCCAAAAACTGTGCGGTGGCCCCCCGGGAATCCCGACCGACTCACCAGGGGCACCCTCCATCTGGAAGCCACCGAGCCAGGCCCATCCTTCGGCGGTGGACAAACCTCCCTTTAATAAACCTCCCTGTAGTGAAAACGGCCTAAGACCGAAACCGACGGACCTGGACCCGCAAAAATGACGGCCGCGGCGCCCTCTCGCGAACCGAGAACGGCCAATTCGCTAATCGACGTGTCAGGGCAGGCGGTCTATCAACCTCGGAAGCCTGGGCCCAACATCGGTCTAGACTCGGGTACGCGCTATCGTGGATGAGCGGTCAGTGAATCTGGCGCGTTGGCGCCAGACACACGTGTCGTGAGTATCGTTTAGCCGACCCCCATCCCTCCCCAGCGGCGTGGCCTGGGCCCCCCACTGGCCGATTTGACCCCCTAGATGGGGATATAGGCCGTTCCCTTCGGGTTTCAAGGGGTGTTTCCCCTCTGGGATGGTAATTTGGTGGGGGTCTCGAAGGAGATGGGGATGGGGATGGGGATCGGTTAAACGATACCGAGGTCGGGAAATGACCCTGAAGCCAAGCGCCAATGCCGCCCGATCTGGCGACGAAGTGCACCGATTCTGTATGGAAGCGGGACCCGTCGCTGATCCACGCGCCCAAACTCATGTTTGCGCGTCCTCGATGTACGCGACTTATGTCCTGGTCACGGGGGGGGAATATGCACCGATCCTGGAGTCAGGATGGGCCCCAGCAAGATCGGTGTGGAGGTCAATTAACGTCCCAGACAACCCTCCTGGGGTGCGCCCTCGTACGGGCTAGGGTACAACTTATCTGATGGTTCCGCCTCCTCCTCCTCCTCCTCCTCGTTTCCTCTGTCTCGCCCTTCCTTGGGCGCCAACCAGCGTGCAACGGTCGCCACTCCACTCTCGTGCGTCCCTGGGGGCCGAGCGGAGTGATCCGCCACCGTTCCTGCACGATGTGGGTGTTCGAATGCCAGGTGCTCCCCTGTAGGGTTCTGTGCTCTGATAAGGGCCCCCCCCCTTTCCCGCAGAGTGTCGCGTGCATTATTAGTCCCTCCCTTCCCGAAGCCACGACCCTTCGTAAAACATATAAATCCGCGCTCCCGACACCAACATCGCCAGAAGCAAACGATGTGTCAACGTCCCAGGCTTCAAAGACGGCCCAGGCAAGCAACCGAGGCAACCAAGATGACCCCAGATGCCTCGAAAATGGGTCAAGATGGTCCCAAGCTGGCCCAACAGGGCCTCAAGGCAGCCCAGGAGGCCTCCAAGGGAGCCCAAAAGGACCATATGAGGGCCCTCAACAAAGTGCAGATAAGCCCGAATCATCGAGTTCTCGATGGTGTTGGAATGAGTTTCGCTTTCTCACCCACCTGTTGGGGCGTCCGTCACGACGGCCCCAAGACGGCCCCACAGACGGCCTACAGACGTCCACCATACTGTTAAAAGAGGGCCCCCAGACGGCCCAGGAGGGCCCAACAACTGCGTAACAGGGTCCCAAAATAGCCTAAGATGGCCCCCATGTGCTCCCAAGACTGCCCCCCAGGCGGCCAACAGGCCCCCAGGCGGCCAAAGCAAGCTCCATGAGAGCGCCTCAAACAATGACGACGGAAGGTGACACATGTGACAGCCTTCCTTGTCCGCCTCCTCTTCCTGCTCATCCTCATCGTCGTCGTCATCATCATCATCCTCATCATCAGAATCCTCCTCCTCGTCGTCGTTGCCGTCGCCAGTAGCAAAAGCAGCAGCATCATCATCACCATCACAGTCGTCATCATCATCACCATCACAATCACCACCAACACAGTCATCATCACCACCATCACCATCACCATCATCAACAACAGCATCGTCAGCGCCAGCATTACCATTTATATCATCAGCAACAGCAGCAACAGCATCTTCATCAACAACATCATCACCGCCGCCACCACCACCATCATCATCACTACCACCGTCATCATCATCAGCATGAACGTAATCATCATCATCATCATCATCATCATCATCATCATCATCATCATCAGCTTCAACACCATGTCATCATCATCATCATCATCATCATCATCATCATCATCATCATCATCATCATTGTCATCATCATTGCCATCATCATCATCCTCGTCTTCATCGGCATCGTCATCCTCATCGTCATCGTCTATATCATCCTCATCCTCCTCCTCATCATTTCCAATATCATCTACAACATCTCATGATTATCATCATCCTCATCACGGCTCTTCTCCGCCTGGAGACACGAGGTGTCACAAGTGACGGCCGCCCGTGCCCCCACGAAAAGTCGTCACCCAGAACGCTGGCCGGGCACAGAGGCTTGACTTGCCGCGGGCAAAGAGGCTTGACTTGCCGCAGGCAGGTTGATAACTTGCGCCTGCCCACAGAGAAACAGTGGATCCGTGCGAAAGCAGGTTTCAATTGATTCAAATAGCGCTGGCACTGCCATCGGTGTCACATGCTTCACGCTGATGGCAATGTCCGAAGCGTGCAATACACGCAACATGTCCACGCATTGATCGGACCCCACTAGATTTAGGTTGCTCTCATCGAACTTAAGGACCACATCCCAGAAATGATTTCGAGCACCCAGAAAGTGTCGAAAAAGTGTCGAACGAGTATCGCCTCCCAGGGCCCGACACGTGAAAACCATCAGATTTCGGTACTTTCTTGGTGCTCGAAAGTGTTTCTGGCGATCAAGGCTAAAGTAGGCTGGAACATCGTAACACTAGATACGGAAGATGAGGGCTTCTCGACAAAATGCCTCGGCAATTCAGGGCGCAAGCAGACGGGCGGCAACAAGTCGCACCACGACGCCCGCAAGCAGGAGGCCGCGAGGGAGGATCAAAGGGGAGAACGGAGAGGGCACACGCGGAGCCGCAGAGACGGAGCAGGAGGTGGGGGAGAAGGGCGAGGAGACGACCGGGAGCAGGAGCGGGAGGCGGAGGAGCGGCGGCAGCAGGAGCGTAGATGGAGAAGAAGGAGAAGAAGGAGGAAGACGAGCAGATTGGCGTAGGAGGAGGAGGAGGACAAGGAGGAGGAGGAAGAACGACCGGTGAAGACGACGACGAAACCGCGGCGGCGGCGACGACGACGACGCGGCCCGCCAGCACGGCACCGCGAGAGGCGGCGAGAGCCCCTCCCTCCTCTCCTTCTCCCCTCCCCCCGCGGCGGGCGGGAGCCAGGATGTTGCAGGGCTCTGGAGGGGAGGGGGGAGAGGAGGAGGGAGGCCGGCATGCCCTCCTCCTCCTTCGTCTCCTCCTCCTCCTCTTCCTCCTCCTCCTCTTCCTCCTCCTCTTCCTCATGTCGCCCAGGACAGGCCTGGGGGTAGGTGGCAGGCTCGTTTTCGCCGCCGTTGTGCGTGTTTCGCATCTTCGGAGGTCAGGCCAGCAGAATCCAGCAGAATCCTCCTCCTCCTCCTCCTCCTCCAGCTCCTCCTCCTCCTCCTCCTCCTCCTCCTCCTCCTCCTACAGTCAACCCGTATCATAAGGATGCGCGGTGAGGGTGCAAGGGACCTGGAGGCCCACGCGAACGTTTTTCGAACGAGATTGGCCGGCGAAAGGTGCCAAGGGTGGGCCGAAGGGGCGAGGATGCCAGGGCGCCCCTGGGAAGGTTGCCCATCCTGATTACGCGGGTTGACTGTGCAGTCGGACATGGGCCAGAAGAGCATCCCTCAAGAACGTGAGGCCCTCCGTCGGCCAAA